TTAAAATACCCTGCGCTATCACATATGGCAGTGAGCAGAATCGCAGATGTTGATGATACCACGTAATTAGTATTCTTTTATGTAAATGAAGGCTGTCAGCATGTTATGTTACCATAGTGTCTACTCTCTCTGAAGCTGGAATTTATGGCACTTGGTCTCACCAAGACCAGGCAGAATTATTCCACTGTCCTTAGTTAAGAACTGAGAAGAAATCAATACAATGAGAGATGAAATGGAAATCTCCCCAAGTAGATAGATTCTCTGATTTTTTTCCCCCGTTTTCCTCTTGTCAATTTTTTGCCCCAGAAATTTTATTTCTGGTGATGCAGAAATGCATTTAGGATTAGCTAAGAAATTTGCTGTTTGAGAATAATTGGAATATTCAAATTAAAAGACATCATATTTTCAAACTATAGATTTTTGAAAGATAATAGTAATGTTCGTTCACTTGTCTCATAATTTTTTTAATTATGTGATAAATCTACAAGTTTCTCATTAGAACAAAAGGCAAGAATTGAAAAGATTTCATTACCTTCTTTTAATTTACTATTAGTGATATTAATTATAGTAGGGTGCTTTTAAATATTATAGTTTTGAGCCCCATTTGATTCAGATTTTAAAAATAAAACTATGGTAACTAAAGAAGCAAACGCTAATATTTTGTCAGGTTTTCTTTCCCCATTTGCAGACAGATCCAAGGTGTGCAGGACATTAATTTAAAGTTGCTGATCGACTTAATGATGGAGAACTGTTAGGGCACACCATGTTCTTTCCCAGTTACACTGCAAGCTTATCTCTTGGATATTGGGTGCCTGTCACCCTGGATGATGTATGTTTTAAGTGGAAATGTTAGGATTACCTTTGGGAGATACGAAGGTCTATATGTCAGAAAAATATAAAATAGAATTCCTCTTTATGCCTGGGGTGTTAGGCCTTATTCTTTAAAAAAGTGGTAAGAATATGTATGAAGGGTGAACTAAACACATTATCTTTCTTGAACTGAGCATACCTTTTTCTCTATTTTGTGTGTTAAGGTGGCTTTTTTCTTTTGTGTCACTTCTGGGCAATTTTCATTTCACGACCAGGTACGTTTTTCCTCTGGAGAAGCTGGTCTGCCCAGCTTAAATCAGCTTGGTGAGGTGCAGAGTGCCCCTGTGTTTTCCTGAATGGGTTTACGCTGCCATATGGCAGGTTAGTGAGTTGCCACGACAGATTTGTAATGGGAAGAGGGCTGTGCAGGAAAGGATGTGCGTGATCAGCAGATTTATAGATCAGAAAATGAAATCAGAAGAAGGAATTTCCAGAGCGCCCTTTCCATTTGACAGCTCTCCATGGAGAGAGTGCAGAATGGTTTTGTAGCATTTCTCTAGTTTGGCTTTTGGTTGTTCCAGCATATTTTTCCTACTAGCACAGGAGTTGATTTCATAAGGCATCAGTTTGCCGGATGTTGTATTGCTGTGTTCCCATTCACAGAAATATTCTCTGTAGGATTTGAAGCTGTACTGTGTTTTGTGTGATAAGATCGCAGTAGCAGTTAAATTCCTGAAGACACATCAAGCCTCCTATTGGCTGACAGGGGGGTTTGCTGGGTTTTGAGTTATAAGAGGCTATTCAGATATGATTCAGTGAGGACTGAATCTTTCAAAGGAAAGAAAACAAGCCTAGTGAGCGAAAGATAGTATGTGCTGGTATATTTAAGTCTGTGCTATCTAATACTGCAGTCACATGTGGCCATTTAAATTTAAATTAATTAAAATTAAATACAATTAAAAGTTTGGTCTCTCAGTCTCACTAGCCACATTTCAAGTGCTCAGAAGGCACAAGTGGCTAATTAGCACAGTATTGGACCATGCAGATAGACAACATAATTGTATAAAGTTCTACAGGACAGTGTTGGTCTAAGTGGAAGATTTTGAGAAATAAAATTCTTTGTTTGATTTCTATGAGGAGTTCTTCAACCCCATATAACTTATAGGATTTAGTGCAGAGTTTCTAAGATTTTAATGTACAAGTGAATCATCTGTAGAGCATGTTTAAATGGAGATTTTTAGACCCCTCCCCAGATTCTGATTCATCAGGTTTGGAGTCGTGACCAAAAATCTGTACATACAACAAGTTTCCTAGGGACTTCCGATGCTGGTAGGTGATTCAGGAACCAACTACATTTAGAAAAATACGAAATTAGCGAGAAACTTGGGAATTGCCTTCTTGATTTTTTTTTCCCCCTTTCATTCTTTCATTACTGGCTTTCTTTTGTGTCCCTCCCTGGTAATTGGTAGTAAGCATCTGTGTACCCAACTTGATTGGTAATAAGTAGAAAAAAGAAAATGCATTTTTTAACCATTTCATCTTTTTAATGTATGTGTGTTTTCATTTGGCCCTGCCCTACAAAAAGTAAACAGAAATGGTAATTTCAGTAGCATTCTGGGCTGTATGGGAAGGCAATGCTGACAGAACACCTCTCTGACCACTAATAGTTGAGTACCCAAAAGCCTTGAAGTTACAAAGGAGTAAAAAAATAAATATATCACATGATCTCTCTGAAGGATAATATGTCTAGTTAGGAAATACATCCAGAGAAATGAGTTATAGGGCACATAGCAACAAGTTAATAATTAGAAAAATAATTACTAAATTCTGACAGTACTCAAAGGAAAAGCATGATCTGACTTGATTGAAAATTGTCTAGGTTGCTTTCCTTTGTGTGATTTAAGGGTTTCTTTATATAGAGACGTGACCTCTGTCATCTGGGATGGGAAATAAAAAATGGGAAGGATCTCTAATTTGGTCCTGTGGTATATTTGTGGGTTTTGGCAATAGGACCAAGCCAGAAGGGCATCTGGAAAACTAAAGAGACTACTCAGAATGCACTGGATTTAGAACTTCTCTGGCTGACCCCATAATCATCGAACTGCATTTGCTCACAGAAATGAAAGTGTAGAAGAAATGGAGGCAAAGGACGTTCTCTTTATAAGAGGAACTACCTTTGGGAATTTTTTTTTTTTTAAGATTTATTGGGGAATTGGGGGAAGGGAACAGCCAAGTTGTCCCTCAGTCTTAGTTGTGGAAGGCACAGCTAGCTCAGCTCCAAGTCCAGTCACCGCTTTCAATCTAGTTGTGGGGTGTGGGTGGGTGGGGGTGGGGCGCAGCCCATAATCCCATGCAGGAGTTAAACCAGGAACCTTGTTAGGAGCATGTGCTCTCACCAGCTGAGCCATGCTGCTGCCTGTTGGCAGCTCAGCGGCAGCTCAGCTCAGGCACAACTCACTGGCACATGTGGGAATCGAACTGGTGACCCTATTGCTCAGAGCTCGTGCTCTTAACCAACTGAGCCACTGGGCCGGCCCCTACCTTTGGGAATTTTAAATACTGGTATTGAAAAAAAAAAATCCTGTGAAGGTTCCAAAGAATAAAAAGTTTTCTTTCAAAATAATTGTTTAGCATCTTTCCCTTGGGGAAATTGCCCATTAGGCTTCTCTGATGAAAATTATTGAAGAAACAATGTTAGGAAGACAAGGAAAAAAACAAAACAAAAAAACCACTTTAGTATGTTACTACTGTTTGGTAAAATACTGTAATACCAATACCCACTCCACCTCTTGTCCTAAGAGTTAGAACTATCTGCTTGTAATTCTGTACTTAACTATCCATTCAGTAAAGAAAGTCAAAGTTTTACCACCCTTTCTACAAGATGTAAATGTTCTTTTCAAAAAGACACATTGTCTTAATCCCTCAGGGTTGTTGTAACAAAAATACCATAGACTGGGTGGCTTATAAACAACAAACATTTAATTCTCGCAGTTCTGGAGGCTGGGAAGTCCAAGATCATGGCACCAGATTCCACGTCTGGTAAGGACTTCTTGGTTCATTAGCCATAAGACTTTTCACTATGCCCTCAAGTGGCAGAAGAGGTGAGAGAGCTCTTTTATAAGGGTACTAATCCCATTTATGAGAGCTCATCCCATGAGGGTCAACCCATTTATGACCTAATCACCTTCCAGTGCACCCCCCCCCACACCTCCTAATGCTATCACCTAGGGGTTAAGATTTTAGCATATGAATTTGGGAGAGGGAGACACAAATATTCAGGCCACAGCAGCCATATAAAATGCTAGATTGAGGCTCTCAGTCTACTTCCTTAGCCAGGTTCTTTGGACTCAGGAAAATAAAATAATACTTTGTATGTAGAGGACTTTCTCTGTCTTACTTTTACCTTACCCTGTTATCTCTGTTTTGAAATACATTGAGTGGGCCGGCCAAATGGCTCAGTTGGTTTGAGCTCTGAGCAACAGCGGTTCGCGTCCAGCCTGAGCTGAGCAGCTGCTGAGCTGCCAACAGGTAGCAGGATGGCTCAGCTAAAAACAAAACAAAACCAAAACAAAAAAAAACAAACAAACAAAAAAAAGAAATACATTGAAACCCACCTAAGACTGCCTAATTTTAGTTGAGGGTCTTCATCTCTCCTACTGGTATTTGAAACACTACCTATGTCTTTCCTCTCGGTTCCTCTCCCCTGCCCATTTCTGCATCCAACCAGGATCTTGATCAGAATGAGATTTAGAAGCTTTCCTTCCTAGGACATCATCAATATAGAAATGTGCTTTCCTAAGGAGCATAAATCGGCCTCACATAAAAATTAGCTGATATTCAAGAATTAAAACAGGCTTAGAAACTGTAAAGTTTCAAATTGGTGCTAAGGTCACCCGTATATTTTATGAATCTTTTTTAAGGAATTTAACTGTCCTTCTGTGTAATCCTCAGTCTACACCAAATTTGCTTTTCTTTGTTTTTAACTTCCTTCCGAAGGAACCAATTTTGAATTGAGAACTAATGAGTATTGAGTTGAAAATGCCAGTTGCAAGGCTTTTTCTAGGAAAATATTTTGCTGAAAGCTTTTGATTTCTTTCTCTCCCCCCTTCTCTCTCCCTCCCTTCTTCCTCTCCCCATCTCTCTCTCTCCCACTCCCCCCCACCCCCACCCCCGGCTCTGCTATGCCAGGTTGGAAGAGTGGAGACTTCTGTAAGACATGGATAGATGCAAACATGTAGGGCGGTTGCGGCTGGCCCAGGACCACTCCATCCTGAACCCTCAGAAGTGGTGCTGCAGGGAGTGCACCACCACGGAGTCCGTCTGGGCTTGTCTCAAGTGCTCGCACGTGGCCTGCGGCCGCTACATTGAAGACCACGCCCTTAAACACTTTGAAGAGACCGGACACCCGCTAGCCATGGAGGTCCGGGATCTCTACGTGTTCTGTTACCTGTGCAAGGACTACGTGCTCAATGATAACCCGGAGGGGGACCTAAAGCTGCTGAGAAGCGCCCTCCTGGCGGTCAGGGGCCAGAAGCAGGACCCGCCGGGGAGGCGCGGCCGGACGCTGCGGTCCATGGCCTCGGGCGAGGATGCGGCCCCGCCGCCGCGCGCTCCTCAGGGACAGCCGCAGATGCTCACGGCTCTGTGGTACCGGCGCCAGCGCCTGCTGGGCAAAACGCTGCGGCTCTGGTTTGAGAAAAGCTCCCGGGGCCAGGCGAAGCTGGAGCAGCGGCGGCGGGAGGAGGCGCTGGAGCGCAAGAAGGAGGCAGCGCGGCAGCGGCGGCGCGAGGTCAAGAGGCGGCTGCTGGAGGAGCTGGCCAGTGCCCCTCCGCGCAAGAGCGCGCGCCTGCTGCTGCACGCACCCCGAGCCGCCGCCCCGCGCCCTGCCGCCCCGCGCACACCCGCCGGGGGCCGCCTCCCGCCGCGCCGCGCGCCCGCCGTGGCACCGGGCGTCACCGGCCTGCGCAACCTGGGCAACACCTGCTACATGAATTCCATCCTGCAGGTGCTCAGCCACCTCCAGAAGTTCCGAGAGTGTTTCCTGAACCTCGACCCTTCCAAAACGGAACAGCTCTTTCCCAAAGCCACCAACGGGAAGGCGCCACTCTCGGACAGGCCGGCCAGCAGCTCGGCCACCGAGCTGTCACCGAGGAACGTCAGGGCCGAGTCGTGCGAACGCGAGGGCCTCTGCTGGAACGGCGGGGCTTCCATCACCAGGAGCCTAGAACTCATCCAGAACAAGGAGCCCAGCTCGAAACACATGTCCCTCTGCCACGAACTGCACACCCTCTTCCGAGTCATGTGGTCTGGAAAGTGGGCCCTGGTGTCGCCCTTCGCCATGCTTCACTCGGTGTGGAGCCTGATCCCCGCCTTCCGCGGCTACGACCAGCAGGATGCGCAGGAGTTTCTGTGCGAGTTGTTGCACAAAGTGCAGCAGGAACTCGAGTCCGAAGGCACCGCGCACCGTATCCTCATCCCCTTCTCCCAGAGGAAGCTCACCAAACAGGTCTTAAAGGTGGTGAATACCATATTTCACGGGCAGCTACTCAGTCAGGTAGGTGTGTGCCCACCCTATAACCCCGACTCTGCCCATCACGTCGGAGGGAGGCTTGTATGTTAGTTTGGGCTTCCCGCCATCAGTTTTCATTTTCAGTGACTGTCTTTAACCTTTAATGACAATATAGATAATCTAATGTTCTCTTGGTTATAATTAAGTACCTATGGCTGGCATGCCATCCTTTGATCGGTTTTAGGAAATTGAACAGTTTGCCTGTAACCTTGGTTCCCTCGTAGTTTGAAAGAGTGTGTATTCTCCCTTCCTAGGCACTCTTTACATACATGGAAGGAAGGTGGCTAAGAGTGCCAGAAGGTGCCAGAGGCTTAACCAAGCCTACCTCCTGTTCCCCATTACCTTTCATTTGCTAGACCTTGAGCCATGTACGGACATAAGCGAAGACTCATAGATAAGGCTTTGTGAGAATATGCAGAAAGAATTTTTAGAGTTAAAAAGGTGGGCAACCTAAGAGATTTAGGGAAAACCTCTACACTGTGCTACTGAGGTTTTGTGCCCTGGTATTTAGGGTTTTAAAAGAATGATGAGTAGGGTGGAAGCGAAAGTTTATTTAGGCTTTTAGCATTCGAAAGGGGAGTACTTATTTTATAGGCACTTTCTCTATCCCCTGAGGGTCCACTGGAAGAAAGGTGCATCTGGGAAGGTTATAGTGGGAGGAGATCTAATCACAAGGTACTTTGAGGCTCTGTGGACACAGGGGTCAGTGTAGGGGTACTGCAAGAATCAAGGGCAAAAAGATAGGCAGGTCGGGACTGCACGGAAGGAATGAAGTCTGGAGGAGGAAGGAGTGAGGATAAGAGAGAGAGACAGGAATCGGGGAATTCTCCACCTCAGACTGATTCCATGATAACTTGCAGTGTTTACTACAGCACCGAGTGGTAGAGCGTGCTTTGAGAGAGAAGAGACAAAGGGGCAGGTAATAACCCCTGTGCCGTATGGTTTTCCAGTTCCAGATGGCATCACACAGTTAGAAATATTGGGTTGTCGGAAAAGTCATGAGGTATTTTTGCAATGAAAAACAGAAAAAATACGTCATGACTTTTCCGACAACCCCAATATATACAGAAGTAACAGGCTCTAATTCTCTTAAAGTTATGTTTACTATTTTACTACAATTAAAATTATTTTGTAAAACTGTATGTTAGTTTTGGTCAAGTTATATGTCTTGTATCAAGCAAGGAAAAACATGTGGGAAGTGTGGAAGTTATATAACCTGTCAATCAATCTTTTCATTCTAGGTCACATGTATATCATGCAATTATAAATCCAACACCATTGAGCCCTTTTGGGATCTGTCCCTGGAATTCCCTGAACGCTATCACTGCATAGAAAAGGGATTTGTCCCTTTGAATCAGACAGAGTGCCTGCTCACTGAGATGCTGGCCAAGTTCACAGAGACAGAGGCCCTGGAAGGGAGAATCTACGCTTGTGATCAGTGTAACAGTGAGTGCTGCTGGGGGGTGGAGGGTGGGGGTGGAGGTTGCAACTGGAATATTAGTTTAAGGTGCTTCTTTTGCCCCTTTTAGTCAAAAGTAACACTGATAACATTGAGTGGTTCTAACGCACCTTTTAAGGAAGTTTTTTTCTCTCATTTTACTGAAAACAAGAATATGGACATTATACTATATTAAAAAACCAAACCAAACCTAGGAGTGGTGCCTCCTTTGACTCCTGCTCTGATTGACATTAGCTGTTATCTTGGGAGGCATATGAAAGTGTGGATCCTAAATGGGAACTCTAAGAATGTGAGTACTTAGCTTCACAGAGCTACCGGGGTCCTGCTGAAATTCATGAATATAGAGAGTCTGGTGGCTCTTAAGCTGAGCTCAGGTTAGCATAGCCTGTTTGAGGCTGTGGCTTCAGAAAAGTATACTTTTGTACTGTATCTGTAGACTTAAAGTCTGTCAGAAGTGATGCTGAAGATGGGTACAATAAAATCAAGAAAGCAGGTAAAAAAGTACATTGTTCTGTGGCAATTCGGTTCTTTTTGTGTTTGTTTCGCACATGTTTGGAAGGTTGGCATTTCAGAAGGGGTCATAAGCAAGCATTCCTCCATCGTGGCTTTAAGTTTAAAGCGGAACTCTTTCCATATGGTTACAGGGAGTCTTAGGCAGGACCCCCTCTGCCTTGCCACACTAGCCCCTAATGCTTTCGCTAACCCAGCATTTCCCAGAGGAAATGCAGAGCAGATACTTAGAAGCTCATGTTTGGATTTTTTGGCTTATAAAGATTTGGAAACTGAAATGAATGGATTGTGCAGAGATCTAGAAATCAACTTGCAGCCACATAATAGTTTGGACTTTGAGTTTGGAGAACAAAAATCTTATGGTAGTCCTTCTTAATACATTTGCATATGGCTTTTTAAAATAGTAAATTGTGGGAAACCTGTTTTCTTTGAAGAATCGGGGCAAAAATAAAAAAGTAATACTTGATATTATTTTGCTATTTTAAAACAAAATTTGAAATGCTGTACCTGGTTAACTATAGACCCACCTGTCTTTTCCATATTGAGATATAAAGGCAGTGACTTAAATTAGCTTATTAGAGCAGTATCTATTTTTTTTTGTTTTTTTTTAAACAGTGATTCATAAGCTTTTTACTTGTAAGGAGCAGAAGGATGTTAACTTTAATTCCATCATTCTCAGACATGATAGACTAGACAAGAAATACTTTTATTTTTGCAGGAAAGTGTTGTTTTTCTGGTTGCCAGATGTGCCAATTTATCAGGATTTCTCCAGGCCAGTTCAAATAATAGCAGGGAAGGAAAGCTATCGTAAAGGGACAAGATGAATTGATCTGTTGCTTGTGAAGTTTCTAAACCATCAGCCTTCCACTCTCTGTGTGGCCAGCTTAATCAAATGGAGACAGAACTGATCAATCTCAATTGAATCAGTAATTTCTTTTTCTTTGTGAATTTCATTTTAGGGAAACAAAGCCAGGTTCTGTATGGTCTTTGTTTTGGCTCACACACTCCCTCTGCCGACAGTGGCAGTCATTGCTGGGGTTCCCAGGCAGAGCTGCAATAATTTTCAAAACCCTGCTGGTGACTAGGAGTATAAAATAAGGCCAGGCCCCGCTTTGAATTCTCTTTCTGTTCGTGACCCCCCCCGCCCCCCCCACGTATCATATCATGATTGCCAGTCCTAGTAAAAGCTATGACACATTCATTCCGCTGCAATCTGTTAGGAGAAGCAACAGCTCCATATTCCTATTGTCACAGAAAGCTCCCTGATACGTCATCTGCCTGTGATTTGCTACCTTTCATGAGTAGTGCAGACAGGGCTTGGAATCAGATGCCAAGCTCTTCAGACACTGAGGCCGTGATATCAACAGCTTACAGACAATTAGCAGGCACCACAGTGGACCACTAACTAATTTCACATTCCCATCCATTCACCAACTTAATTAATAACAGAACAGTCATCTGTAAATAGTTATAGAGAAGGCTTCTGCTGGAAATTAAGAGAAATGTATTTCCATTGTTTGTTTGCTATAATTAAAAAATGCATTTCCCCCACAGTTGAGTGGTTTTAGAAACAAAACTGGAGTCTGAGCACTGATTCCGCTTTGGGCTGAATAGATTTGGCTAGACTGTCAGCCTTGTCCTACATGTCCAGCAGTGTGCTTTTATCCAAGAAACATAGTTCACAAAGTAGGTACAGCATAAAAATATAAAACCAGAAAAGGCTCTTTTCTAAATATTTGTATATGCCACAAGCATATCATGCTGGAGAAAAAAATATTTTAAAATACTTTGTCCTTTAGTAATCCTGTTCTACCTTTTTCCTAAGCCTGAAATATATATTATTACCCATTTTACAAGACAGCAAAATGAGGTTCAGAGTTTTGAATAACTTGTCCAATAGCGTACAACTATTGGGTTGTCGAAAAAGTCATGACGCATTTTTGCAATGAAAAACATACAAAAAATATGTCATGACTTTTCCGACAACCCAATAGCTGTGAGCAGGAAATAGAATTAGGCCTTTCTGATGAAAACAAGAAGCTTAAGGTATATTATAGTGCATCATGATTTAAGTTATAAGCCCATATTTAAAGGCATAGAACCCTACCATATACCATATACCATGTGCATGTTGTGGCAGTGACCTTCCATTATATTCCATTAATAAACCCATGACATCACGAGTGTTCCATCCTAAACCCATACCAATTTTGGAAATTGCTGATGGCAAAAATTTGAAACTGGACGTATCAGGATTAGGTTTAGTCAACTCAAATAACAATGACTTAAAACAAGTACTTTTTTTTCTGTTATATACAGAGAGTGCCCAAAAAAATGTAGACACATTTTAAGGAAAAAATAATTAAAATTGTAATACTCAATATATACCAATAACAAAAGATGAATACAAGTCACGTTTGACTTCTGTAATTACAAGAGGTGCTCAAAGTGGTTACCATCAGCGTCCAGACACTTCTGATTACAGCGAACTACTGCTTGAGCAATGTTAACCAAAGTGTCCACTTGTATACGTTTTTTTGGCACCCCCGGTATAAGAAGTCTGAAGGACATTCAGAGGCTTGCATGGTGGCTGCATGGTTGTTGTGGACCCAGGCTCTTTCCATATTTCAGCTTTACTATCCTAGTTTAAGACTTCCATCCTCAAGATTATCTCATGGTCCAAGAGGAATTCCAACAGCTGCAAACAGTGAGAAAGAAGGACAAAGAATGCACCTTACAACTGAGTCAGTGTTCTTTAAGCTACCATCCCAAGAGTGCCACACAATCATTCCTTCCATCTCTGCCAGAATTCCGTGGCCACACCACACAGACACGTGAGGCTGGAAAATGCAGTCTTACAGAGGGTCACATTGCTGCCCCAAATAACATTGAGGTTCAAATACTGAGAAATAAGGAGAATGCATATTGAGTGGCAAGTCATTATCTCTGCCATAGCTAGGAACGAATGAGACTCCTCATAATCTGTGTCTTGTACCTTCCCAAACCATATAGGCAAACGACGAAAATCCAATCCCAAACCCCTTGTTCTGAGTGAAGCTAGAAAGCAGTTAATGATCTACAGACTACCTCAGGTCCTGCGGCTGCACCTTAAAAGATTCAGGTGAGCTTGCTCTCCGGCGTCCCAGGTGGCTGTGGGAACCGCTGCTTCAAAGGCTTTGGTGAAGGCAAATGTCTTTGCTGTTGGGAGGGGACGCTGGTTCCCTAGAGACCCTACGCTTTCCGTGGAGATGACACGGGTCATGCCCAGTGGGGCAAGTTGATATTGGGGACCAATATCAACTGGCTCCTGCTCTCAGGACTGGCTCCCTGTTTGATTAGCTAGTCTGCACCAGCTGTCTGTGCTTGGAGATTGTCTAGCCTCACTTAGGCTTATATAGTCATTTTAGGAATAAAGTATGAGGTAATCTGTGAAAAGACAGGCAGGCAGTAAACTACAAAAGATTATTCCCTGAATTGGTTGTTTAGGGATCTCTAGTTTCAGGGTACATCATGGAAGATTCACAGGAAATACATGTGAACATTGATTACTAGTGTTTTATTGACATGAAAACCAAAGCTGGAAGGTTGTTTTGTCAGCTCCCAGTTTTACCCACCTCTACCTGTAATCATTTATGCCCTTTTTTACTAGTAAGAAGTTTCTCTCCATGCTCTAGGTGGTCTGGCCGTAATCACCGAGAGAAGATTGGGGTCCATGTCGTCTTTGACCAGGTATTAACCATGGAACCTTACTGCTGCAGGGACATGCTCTCCTCTCTTGACAAAGAGACCTTTGCCTATGATCTCTCCGCAGTGGTCATGCATCACGGGAAAGGGTTTGGCTCAGGACACTACACAGCCTATTGCTACAACACAGAGGGAGGTGCGTGCGCTTTGCTCTGTGGGGTGGGGGACACGGAAAGGGCTGGTTTGTCCACATTTCATTGCTTTCCTTTTATTTCATTTATAGGGGGATAGTACATACATGTAAATCCAGTGGGCAGGATTATGAAAGTTGGATTCAAATTTTGGATATATTACTAAGTAAAAACCTAACACTTCTAAAAATTGACAGGAATTGACACATGTAAAAGTGCTTAGCACAGCTAGCACTTTATGCTCAATTAATGTTAGAGGTTATCATTATTTATTAATACTTGTGCTGCAGACTTCTGTTTCCTTCTTGGCTATGCAAAAACAATAGGACCTGTCTCACCTCATGGAGATCCTGTATGACTCTCACTAGCTTCAGCTCATAAAGCTGAGAACATTTACTGAGCACTTACTATGTCCTTACTACATCCCTTACATGAGAGGTGTGGGGATGCCAGGGCCCCTCCCAAGAGCCTTTCAGTCCTTCCCCCCCAGAGCAGAGCCTCCCAGTTAGTTACTGCACTGGGGCAGGAGGGCTGCAGCTGTGTTTTCAGTAGTATACTGATCTTGAACCAGGTAGCCAGAGTGAGCCTGTGAACAAATAACTTTTTAGTCCTCCTAAATTTTCCTTTAGCACTCCTCTCTTTTTTCTATTTCCCCTTCCCTCCTTCTCTACCCCTCTCTTAGCCCTCAGTCTCCTGTCTTTATAGATAGAAAGCCGTAATGGGCAATGAAAAAGCCTAAATAAAATGAGGACAAAAATTTGAATCAGTTGATATTGTAAACGGTATTGTGGTGGGGTTTGGTGGGGTTAAAGCCAATGGTTACAGAGAAGTCTCTTGGTTTCATTTACTCGTCTCTTCCCCCACCACCAATGATCAGGGCTTAGCTCTATTCACATTCCTGTCCCTTTCTTCATCTCCTGGTTGTGCCTGCTGATTGGAAATATAAGTTGGGTAGTCATTTACTCTTTCTTTCCTTTGGTTTCATAGGTTTTTGGGTCCACTGCAATGACTCAAAGCTGAATGTATGCAGTGTCGAGGAAGTGTGCAAAACTCAAGCCTACATCCTTTTTTACACTCAAAGAACAGTTCAGGGCAATGCAAGAATCTCAGAAACCCAACTCCAAGCTCAGGTGCAGCCCAGCAACAACGGTGAGGGCAGACCACGGACCTTCCCCTGAATGGGAGGCATGTATCAAAAGACTGGCTTGCTTTTACACTATTGGTGTCTGTACATCTTTCCTCTTACAGGAAGTAAGGTTTACTGCAGGAACAGATGACTAGGTTTGCCTCACTGGGTCTAGAGCAGAAGGTGCCAGGTGACTCATGTCCTATCATAAAATCTGTAGTCACTTTCTTTTGAATGGATTGAGGAATTCCCTCCTTTGATAAAAATCAAAAGGAGTAACTTGTATGAAGATTCTTTCATCAATTGCTTCTGGATATAGAGGGACCTGGGTGGAGCAAGGAGGGAGTAAATTGGTCATATCCAGCCAGGAGACAGCCGTGTTCTCGTTCTATGTGTGATTAGTCAGGACCTCCTTGCAGCACCACCCTCCCGATGTGAGCATCCCTGGACAGAACACAGGAGTGGCCCTGGGCTTGCAGCTGGCCTGATGGGCATGATTGCAAGGCAGGAGAATTCTAAGGATTTGTTCCTACAAAGGAAGGAACGTTCAAGGGTTAAAAATTTGCAAGCTTCCTTTTTGGGGGGATAGCAGTTGAAGAGTGGAATGAGATGCATGGAGCAAATTTCCCCATGCAAAATGTGAGGTTTTCCACGTCATCTTCTCCCTGGCTGCTGCTCATTTAATCATTCCACATCTTCTGAGACTGGCATGGAGATGCCTTATTCTAAAGGAGCAGTTCATACAGGGAAGCAATAAGCTGGCACATGACATGTTCTCTGTTGCATGCTAAGCGTAAGGGTACTCCTGGCTACCCAGGTCTGTAGCAGATCCGTGGTTCGGGTCAGGTAAAGGTCTAGGGCTCGGTTTACATTGGTCTTTAGGTCAGTTGTCTGAGGCTTTCTCAGAACTCAGCTGAGAGTGGGCAGGGAGAGCTGGTGGCCCAGGGGCTTATCTGAATGTCTGTCACCCATTCTCACCTGGTGTGGCGTGCAGTTTTTCTTCTTGCACCTGGAAGGCTAGAACATTATTGTTCACCGCAAGGTTTGGGAGCTTTTGCTTTCCTAGGGCTTAGGAATCTGCCCCTTGTATGTCTGAACAGTTGACTGCTGATGCCCCTGGCCTGTTTCCTCCCAAATCTGGTAATCCCGGCTGGTTCCTTACCCAGCCACATTCAGTCCACCAGAGAAAAGCAAGAGTGCCCTGTCCTTTACTCCAGTGCTGTAAAATAGATCTTTCTCTCTAAACTGGGCCATTTTCTAAGGGGAATGAAATTGCCCGGATGGAAACCTTCCTCCCCATCAGGCACCACTGAATTTCCCTTCTCAATCCTTCGCTTAGACTCACAGTACAAGTAAACGCAACCTGTAACTCGTGGGGCTGCTGCAGCCTGCCTCAGCCTGTCATATGAACAAATGCTCATCTTTTGACTGAGTATATCATATAAGTATTTCAATTCAGGTAGAAGTACAGTTGTCGCTTGAAGGGAGCAGATGTGGAAGGGAGTTTCGGGAGGGGTGAGAAGTTGGGAAAAGAGAGGCTAATGAATAAGGGTCGTAGCTCTAGCGCTGTTGATGAGCCACATTCCCAAGCAGAGCTGTAGCATTTGTTGTTGACCTCTTGAGATGAACTCTCCCACAGAACCTGCCAGACAGCACTGAGACATGGAGAAAATCCAGACAGAAAATGGCTCACCCTGATAAGGAAGGGCGAGTGACTATATTTTAAATTAAACTTGCTTTTGCCAACACTGTGAGGTTTCTGTAATATTTAGCTTTTATTTGGAAGCGATCGCGTATGGCATTTTTTATGCTGTTTGGTTTATATTGTCTACTGCAGGCTTCTCTGTATAAGCTTGGCCCGGGCTCCCACTCTCCTGGACACTGTTTTAAAGTGTCACAGCTGCCCATGCTGCCAGAGGCTCTGATGTGAAGCTATACTCTCTAGAACCACATTTTTAAGTCGGCATGATCAGTGATGACTTTTTGTGGCAACAGAAAACCAATTAACTCAAAGGAGAGTAAAAAGGAAAGGAAAATATAAATTGTGCCTCATCTTTCATTGAATGCTATATTTATTATTCTAGAAAAAGAGAATGTACAAATGGAGAATAGAGCATCTACTTCATCCCTCAGGCTGTCCAGGGGGAAATACTTAAAAACAAAAACAAAAAAAAACATTTAATGGAAAATTTAAAGATCTTCAAATTTAATTTTTAAAAATAGTTTTATACCAAATATTATAAGGAATATTAAACAGATTAAAGACTTTGTAAAATAAGTGCTTAACTTAGCTAAGCACCCCTGTATCTAATTAATAAAATTGTTTAAAAGGAGTTGGAATAGAAACCAATATCAGAGTCCTCACAGAGCTGCACTCTTGAAGGTGCCCCTGCAGTCAGACACCTCAGGTACCCAGAGGCCCCAGCACTAGACACTGTTGAGAAGTTAGTATTTATGAAGATTTTTATTAAAGACAAGAGTTCCCTGCTGCATAAGTTAGTGGCTGTTGTGAGGGAAATGTCCCTTTGCCTTTAATTTATTTACATATTGGAAGTACATTAATTTCTTATTAGTTGCTTCTTACTTTAAATGGAAACACTCTAAAGAGAAGAAAATAAGAACCAGGTAGAAGTTGACTAGATGTTGCCAAATCAAACCCAAGCTCTCCTAACCGAACCTTATGGACCTGCTTCTCTCCCAAACAAGTAGTTCGAGCCCCGTTCCAGGAACCCTTTGAGTTGGCTGGTGTGTTTACTTTCTGCTGTAGCCAGCCAAGATGAATGCACCCTGGCCCTTGAAAAGGATTTTTACCTCAGTCTAGCTTGACCCTCATACTTGCGGTTGCCTCTGAGAGGAGCATCCATGCTAGCTAGCATCAAAAAGATTAGGAATGCCCTCAACAGCCAGAAACTGAAGCTCTTACTAAATGGTGGGCAGAGCTCTTGCCAGCTTTGATCAAACCCCTTAAGCTTAGGGGGGCAGTACCACACTGTAAAGAATTTCCAGATGTCTCTTTAAAAGTCATAAATAAAATTGGAAACTGTAGAAGTGTTAATGTGTCCTATGGACTCAATAGCAGAGTTTATTTTTGTTTTTCATGGCAAGGCTTCTAGAGTCAGTGATTGTGTGAGTTCCCTTCTCTGGCTATGCTTCCAGTTCCATCCAAGTGCAAGAATGAATGGGGTGGGTTGGCTGACAATGCGGTGTGGGCCCCAGCCAGGCCCCAACATAAGCCTGAGAGAGGTGTGGGCAGTAGTGCAGAATGAAAACATGGTTGGGTGTGGGAGGTGGGATAGGGGTGGGCAGGCAGGGAGGGAGAAATGGAATTTGTTTTACTTACTGATAAAGCTTTGTGAACTAATTTTATACAATTCATAAAATTTGGTGCCTTGTACCCAATTATGGTTTGCATGGGATTGAAAAGGTTAAGGGAAGGGGTTCCTTCTTGTCATTTCAAAGGGCAAATTGGTCTGTATAGTGTAAAGGACATTTGGTATCAGACTTTTTTAAAGCATTTCATATCTCTTGTGTGTGAAAGCAAATTATTCTTACCAGCCAAGATCTGAAATTTTTCTGTAATATCCAAAATGTCTGTATCTGTGATTGTTCATGAAATGGCTGCTTTTCAAGGCAGACTATGTACCCCATTCTTTTTCACCACCTCTTTTATGTTCAAAACATTAACTCAGGCCTTTTCAAATCAGGCTGGGAGGGCCACCCTTTCGTAAACATGTTATACCCCTATCTGGGGTTATATTTTATGAGTGGAAGGGTTGCTTTTCTAGCTGGTTGGGAGAGCACAAACATTCAGAAAAGGCCTTTCCGTTTCTTCTAATGCTGGGCAACTTCTGGTAGAAGTACAACAAAAATGGGTCCTCCTGAAGTGCTACTACTTTCATCAGTTCTGAAGTTGTTCTGCACAAATTTTCAGGAAGCAGTATAGAACACAATCCCCTATATGTGAACCTTTTAGTTTAGATTGTAAGGTAAGCCAGTGCACTGTGTAATATGCAAAAGAGAAGGCTCCAAGAACCAGCCCAGCCCCTTTTCCCGGAGGGAGCTACAGATGGTGCTGAGTGGCTGTGAAAGGAGACCTAGTCTGCTCACCCACGGGGCTGTTTCTAGCATGTCCTTTTCCTCTGACCTGCAAGTTCCCACCGAGCTCATGAGACTTCACCAAAGGGTATTTTAAAAGCTCACCATTTGGGGCCGGCCGAGTGGCTCAGTTGGTTAAGAGCTCACTCCAGAGTGCGAGCTCTGAGCAACAGGGTCGCCTGTTTGATTCCCGGCCTGAGCTGAGCTGCCAACAGGTGGCAGGATGGCTCAGCTAAAAATAAAGAAATATAAAAAGCTCACCACTCTAAGCACATTTCATAATTGGGTCCCTCAGCCCAATTACTGGTTTAATTAGGTGAGAGGCTTCTATCTTTAGGATAAAACCTTCCATGGCCACTTAGTTTTTTCCCAGGTAAGTATGCATCTCCCTGGTAGGTCAGGTTCTTTTTTGAAGTCAGCACTACAGCTGTGAAGTTTCTCCTAAATATGACTGCGAGTTTAATTTATATCTTCCACATTTAAATTAACCATTCTCTGGGTCTAGGACTTTAAAACAGTGTGTACTCATTCAACCCCATACATTGCTCTAAATGCACCATAGCTACTATAGCAATCAGGTGCATGGTCATTTTTGTGGACTCTTTCCATTCTTACATCTGCTGGCATGTTTCCATTTCAAATCTAGCTAGTGTAAGAGACTTTCATAGTACTGTGATAACTAGCCAGGACTGAAAACTGTGATAGGATGTAAAATTGACTTCCCCCTGGGGAGAATGGAATGGTGAAAGACAGCACTTTCATTTAAAGATGATGACTAGTCATCATGATTTTTGAAACTGTCGATTTGGTAGCTTTATTTGCTAAAGACTTACCACTTTGAGGAGTTAAGCCAATTTAAATGAAACTTTACCTTACCAGCATATGGCTTTACAAACCAACTAACAGTGAACACTATTACTTGAAGCTAAAACATTGTTTTTTTATTTCTTTCGGTTACAATTGACATACAATATAAAGCATTGAATTTTGAATGAAATTTCAATTATGCTTTTGGAAGCTACCATGTATTATTTTTGATGGATTTTGATTTTCAATTTTGGAACTTTATCAAATAGAACTGTTCACAATTATGAGTAGATCTGGTAGCAGACTTCAAGGATGTAAGTTTCATTCCTATAAAGAAAAGGAGATGCTGACACTTGTCTTAACAGTGGTCTGATGTAGGCGGGAAGGGGATTAGAATCTATATTATAGCTTAAGTTCCCTTCCTGGTCACCATTTGAGGGGTGATGGCTTCAAACCTAAGCCTTGCTCTCATTTCATTTATGTGACCCTTCTTCATCTTAACACCCAGTAAGATATACATCTGTCAGATTGTCTGTGGTCCCACTGTAGACTCTTAAAGGGTCTTGGTTTTATGTTAAGCCAGCCACAGCCCTGAATTTACACAAGCTCAAACTCCTGCTAACCAATGGGACCTACCTGATTAATACAAGAGAATGGTGCTTTTTAAAAAAAGAAAAAAAAAAAGAAAAGAAAAATACATAACTAATCTAATTCTCAAACAGCATTCTTAACGAGATTTATGCCGGCAGGGTCACGAGGTGCTATTTTGTCCTATTTACCTTTAGTGAACAGGTTACTAGAGACAACATCTGTCAACTGCATCAATTAGGCCACTATGGTACATTTATACTGACCCTCCTTTCTAATGCATGTCCCTTAATCCTATACCAGTTCCATAAGAGACTTGGCACGAAAAAGCAGTATTTTAAAAAATGCCTAGCAGAGTAAATCAACTGGAAAAGTTGCCAAGGGTAACGTGTCTCCATCTCCATGTGTGTCTAAGCCCACAAGGCTTTCCATGCCAGTTCCTTACATATTCCATTTCCAAAGAACCCAAACTCCTAGACAGTGGCACGACCATGAATTTCAGGGTCACAGGACATCTATTTCCTTGTGAAGGAAGCAGTTTTCTCAGGCAGCTGCTCACTTTAATGCCCATTGCCCAGGTTTACTTAACACATTGCCTCCACCTGCATATCACTGCCCTCTTTCTGCCAACAAATCCCACTCTAGTCCAGCGACAATGACGCCCTGGTGCCTGAAAAACCCACCTGGTGCACTAACATGCTATGCAACACCAAATGGCTTCTTCCCCTAGTACTGCTCAAAAATGGAAATTCCTCAAGAATAAGCTTCATCCTATGATAACATCAATGTACGGTGGCTACAGTTCCCATTCTTTTTTCTTTCAATATGAAGCAAACCACCTCTGTTACAACCCACATTTGGGGCTTGTTCCTGTCTCTTGAGTGTGAAATATAAATCATGTTTTTATGATTTTTGTAAATCAACTTTTTACACCTTGTTTTTGTAAGCTGAAGTTTCTTATTAAAAGAATAATAAAAAAATTGGCTGTCTTTGTGTGCAGTCTTTATTTCAAATAATTGGTAAAATACTATTAGGTTATTCCTCAAAACAAGAGCAAAGATCACCCCCTGCAGAAACTTGGGAACTATGTACAGAACTTTACGGAATGGCGGAAAACAATTTAGCTGAAGCCTGACTGCTGACCAGAGAATGGAGTGGACTCAGTGAAGAAAAGGAAATCAGGCAGGGAAGGGAAGGTGCCCCTCTGAATCAAACTTCAGCTGCCATCAGGGCAAGTCTTGTGATGGTCACAGATTGGAGGCTCTGTTTTTGGAAGGTTCAAGTACAGCACGGGTTCCATGTGTCTACAATCAGACAGGACAACAGGTGGCATTAGAAATGTAAAAGCACCAGAGGGAAATTGGTAAGAGACTCAAATCCCTTGCAACATCTGGAAACATTTAGGAAATTGCCAAGGGTTTTACATCAAGTCTCTCTCCTATATTTTATGAACATTTGATAAAGTTATTGCTTCTCCCAGCCACTAGGACGCCTAAGACACACGAAGCAGAGGTTAGGTACTTACCTATTTGGCTACACCCCTGGCTGAGGTGCCATTAGGTCAATGTCACTCAAATTCCTGGCCAGCCAAACTCCGGCAGCGAAAAGTCCCAAATTGAGGATCAAGTTCCTGGAAAAAGAATGTATTCCACTAACCCTGTAGTCATCGAATCACTTATCTTTGGTTAACAAAAGATACTGGGGGAAAAGGCTTCCCACCACCACCCTGGAAAAACTTCCGAGGCAGAAACACTTCTAGATTGCAAGAGTGTTGATCGTTACATGGTAGGTTGCCCAAGACCCACACAGTTTAGTTAGAGTTGGTTTCTGTATCTAAAAACAGCAGGGACTAATGCTAAGGCCAATTAAGCGCTCGTCCAGGGTCGAAAGGCCCGTTTATGAGCTGGCGCCTCTTTTTCCCGGGTTCCCCAGGTCAGGATGAAATTCTCTAGACATAGCCTGGTGACTGAAAACATCTCTTTCGCCGCACGGGAACTCGCCCGGTCAAGGACCTCAGTAAAGCACAACCAGAGCCACTAAGAGGCCAAGATGTTGGCGGTGCAAAAAAACAAAACAAAAACAAAAACCCGGAGGCGCCAGGCTCGGCGAAGAAGGGAAATGAGGCAGATTATGTATACGGGCGTGGAGGGACAAAGAGGGGCCAGGCTGCCGGGCCTCAGTTACCTCCGAAAGTCATTCCTATCGGTGGCGAAGCGGTAGACGCCCCGAAGCCAATCTCCCACGTTGTCTGGAATTTCGGGAGCTTCATTTGCCGAGCCGCCAGGGTTCACGCCGACCCCACTGGAAGCCATAGCAGCACCTTCGCGCTCCGCAAGGCCGCCGAAGAAGCACCGTGTCGGCGCTGACCAATGACGCGACTTCCGGTTCCGCACTTCCGCGGGCTCTGGGCAGGCAGAGGGCGGCGCAGATTGAGCTTGGTTGGTTGCCCGGGAGAGAGAGATAATTCCCGAGCTGCGCGTCCACGAGCTCGGCAAGCGGAGGAGCAAGGCCCAGCTCTGCGGTCCCCTGGTCGGGTTCCTCCTCCGGTCCCCTCCAGGCCTTCGTTTCGCCAAGCCGGTCACTGTCACGCGAGGTCTCTGGGTGATCACTTCATTGGCTCAAGAGAAAGGATGCTAGGGATGCGGCTGTCCCAGCCTATGGCTAGCTCAGCAGGGGATGAGTTGCTTTGGGGAATGGAGTTCCCCAAGAAAGTATCCATCAAAAGTCACAGAATGCGCGCGCTGAACAGGGAGTACTCAAGTTTGTCACCTCGCCGCCTCTTCCTGGCGTGCTTCTGATTTCCTTCAGTCCAGTATTTTTATAGAGGGAGGAGAGCCTTGCTCTCCCTCCCGCCTTACACATCATCCCTCCCCCCGACTCCCCCTTCTCGGGGCCGCGCCACTAGCAAATGATGCAGTGCTTCTTGGAGGTTTCGCTGGCCCCAGCTTGGGGGCTTCCGGGGGTCTTGCAGGGCCGGGGAAGGCGCTGGCCCAAGAAAAAGCCTTCGGGTTCTGAGTCAGAGGAAGAGGAGCATGTGGGGCAGGGGGCGTCCTCCGTCGGATCAAGGGGCGTCTCCAGGGGGCTCTGCTCCGGCCCTTTGGGTGCCTCAGCGTTGTCCCCAGCTCGGCAATCCTGCTCCGGGCTGGATCCATGCAACCCCCTCTGGGCTTCTCGACTGGAGCTGGCGGCAGCGACAAGAAGGGCTGCTCCGGAGATAGTGGTGGCGTGCAGTGAGGCGCGATCCCCTCCTTCAACTCTGTCAAGCCTCGCTTCCCCTGCTGCGGGACGGGTCAGACACGCCCGTCTGAGACTTGAAACCCGGGCAGGGCGGTCCCCTGAAGCCAGGCCCAGCCTCCCGACCCGCCTCCAGGCCGTGCGCGCCGCCGCAGCCGCAGCTTGTCCTCCCCGGGGCTCCCCGCCCCTCCCCGCCTCCGCCCACCAGAGGGCGGCCGCGTCCCCAGTCCAGGAGCGAGTCCTGCCGCATCCTCAACCGCGACGCGGGGTGGGTTCGGGAGGCCTTTGGAGCGCTCTGGCCAGGGACGCGCGGTGAGAGCTGCGGGCCCCGAGGCTCGGGTCTGGGGTATGCGGTTGGGGGGCGGGGGCGCTGCTGGAGGGACGGGACGGAGTGAGACCGGGGCGAGGGTCCCAGCCCGGGAGAACCCCCTCCCAGCCCAGCCCAAGCCGCTGCCCCCTTCCCTCTTGATCTGCACCTTTCCCTCCCTTACCAAGGGACACTCTCCCTTCCAGTGTCGAGGCGAGGCTCGAGCCGACATCCGAATAGCGACTCTCAAAGCAGGTAGGGCAGCAGGGGCCGCCCCCGGGCAGGGCATAACGTCCCCCGCCTAAGGGGCCGGCACAGTCCTGGCAGCAGAAGTGGTTCTCGTGCCAGCGCTGTCCTTCAGCCTCGGTACAGCGCGGGGAGAAGATCAGCTGGGAGAGGGAGAGGGGGACGCCTCATTCATTCATTCATTCATTTATTCATTCATCCAATAACCACTTACACCCTGTTAATGCTAAAGCACGTCTACAGACAATCCCATTTGATCCATTCAACTACTCTAGGATGCAGGGAGGTCTGACTGGCTTAGCCAGAATTCCCCATCTAGCAGGTGGCACAGCCTGAAGTGTGACTGGTCCCCTGGACTCCCAACCTAGGGTTCTGCGCAGCCTCATGCTGACATTAACAGAGTTCCTCGCATGATCAGGCACAGCACTGGGCACTCCGCATACTGATGTCAATGTCTGTCCAAGAATCCCTGCTCTAGAGAAATTCTCAGTCCCAGAAAATTTGGGACTCTGCTTGCGATGGTGAAGGCCACAAAGGCAAAGGGTCCCATATGCCCAGAGCTCAAGTCAGAATAATGGGAACACAAGGTCCCAGGCTGGTTCCTAGTTCTCCCTACTCCACTGTGAGATACTGGGAAAGGTGGACCCTTACATCCTGCCACCTAGGACCCTAAGCAGACCCCCTTAGCCCCTCCTCTCAGGGCTGTACCTGGTCACAAGCAGGGCAGCGCGGCCTCAGCAGCTCAGCGTGATGACGGCCACAGTAGAGATGTCCATTGTGGTAGAAGTAGATGAGGTTTATCAAGGCCTGGCCACAGGCCTGACAGGCAAAGCAAGCCCGGTGCCAGCAACGCTGCTCTCCTGCCCGGGCTGCAAATACTCCGTATTCCCCTGGCCTCAGCCAGTCCCTGCACTGCAGGGGGAGGGGGGGAGGTGTGCTGGCTGCTCAGAGATGGGACCACCCACCCTCCTAGCTTCCTTCCTGACTTCCATCCCGACCCCAACATAACTATTCTCCCCGTATCCCTGCGCAAGCCCACCTCCACTGCAGGCTCCACTAAGAACCCCCAAACCTGGTTTCCCTTTTTCCTCAAGTTTGCCAAACTCTCAATCCCCAAACCCCTCTTTCCCACCAGAGTCCCAGAAGCTAGCTCCTGCAGAAGTGAGAGGGCAAAGCATGGAGGAAGGGGAATATTGTAGGGTGTGGGAATTACATACCTTCTCACAGGTGCATTCTTCAAGCCTGGGAGGTACCAGGCGCACCGCCCCCTGTCCCAGGGCTTCTCGCCTCCGCTGGGCACAGAAGAGCCGCAGCTCAGCCAGCTCCTCCTCCCCAAGGGCCAGGCAGTATCGCTCCTGCAGAAACAGGCCTCCACTGTGACTGGGGGAGCCCCAGCAGGCAAGATTGAAGTTTGATTGGAGAGAGAAGGCTTAGCTGCTGGTCAAAGGAAGGTTGCAGAACCCTCAGGGAGGTGCAGTTGATAAAAGCATAGAAGGGCATTAATATAGAGGGGGGGGAGGGACAAGAACTCCATTAAGTCCACCAATCTTACTCCCCCCACCCCCAGGAATGGTCGTCACTCAGTTCTGATAGCCCTATAGCACTTAGCCCTTTCACCATATATTTACTTCCTTGCTCCCAACAAGCTGTAGTTCAATATCACTTCCCCTTGTGTTTTCCCTATTTATTCCATATCCTCCTGTCTTGCCTTCCCAATTGAATTGTAAGCCTTTAGCCTGGGCACACATAGGGCCTCAATAAAGTTAACCATACTTCCTACATTTGTACATTCCATTATTGGTTTCAAAAGTCGTTCATGCCCATTTTCTCATTTGCTCTTCAACTAAGCATTGTGGTGGGCAGAACAGCCAGTATGTACAATAGATAACTGTACCCATTGTGCAGATGTGGAAACTCAGGAAGGGGGGAGTGGGGGATGACTTCCCTCAATTAGTAGCATAGCTAGGCCTTAAATCCATGTTCCCTGACTTCTGGACCAAGGTTCTTCCCACAGTATGTAGAAAGAGGGAGGCCAAAAAGAGAGAAGCTGGGGAGAGGAGGACCCACATCGATGTCCTGTGGAGGGAGCTGCTGCAGCAGAGTCCGAAGCCCAGGCCAGTTGGGGACTTGGTTGGTGTCCAGGCCAGGGAGCCCCAAGCTCAGAACGTCTGGATTCTGAGGAGACAGCAGATAAGGAGTGGAACTAGGTTTTCTTTCCTTCCCCTTCTTATTGCCAAATCTTCTCCCATCTAGAACAACATCCAAGCACCACCCTCCATTTGGACAATCAACTCCTTCAAGATCACCAGGACAGCTGATCCACTCCTGTATTTGTGGTCTGATTGAGGGAGGCTGGGGCAGCCTCACACCCCAA